AAAAAAAAAAAAAATCATGTTGTTTTAACTTAAATAAGTATTTTATTTTTAAGGTTTCTGGAGAAACCTGCGAAATCATTGAAAAACAAAGCACTATTTATATACTGTATGTTGGGAGCCAAAGTCGACTGTGCATTTTTGTCCATTATATCAAGTGCTGCTACTATTTATTTAGTGTTCAATCTGTTACTAGATTGTTGGCATTGATTAAGCTGAAGCCCCACTGTGAGTGGGGGGGATATTGTAAATTTTAAGAGCAGGCCTGCCGTCAGAGTAGCAGATTATTTACAGCCTCGGGTCTGAAGAGATTCGTTTCAGACTCACGTTTGAACATCGACTGAGGAAAAAAAAAGACCGAAACCGCACAGAATCAGGTCAGCAGAAGTATTTTTCCCCAGGATGACTCGTTTCAGAAGGACCTGCCTGTCAATTTGGAAATGAAGTCTAAAACCTGCACGTAAAGCACTGACACGAGCACTGTCTGAAGGTACTGCACTGATGCCCTCCAGCCAAGATGGCAGACTTCTTTCTCCAAAAGCCAAGGCTTGTACTTTTTTCTTTTTTTTTAATTTTAGTATTTTATCAACTGGGACAAAAATGGAAAAAAAAGAGGACGAGCTCTCATTTGTATATCATTGTTTGAAATGCCTTTGAGTACAGGCAGTTATTTTTTTATCTTTCGGTTTGAGCATGCACTTGAAAGTCTCTCGCTTTTACGAAGGCCAAACAATCACTGGTAGTTTTAGTAGACGGCTGTGACATGAAATAGTGTGCTTTGTAATAACTGCGATTATTATTCTGCGGTGATGAGACATCTGAATCTGTTTTAAAAAAAAAAAATTAAATATGAAAATGGTTATTTATGTATGTACAGTTTGCTAATGCCAACTTCATGGAGAATACCCTCTTTGCAAGTAATAAAACATGAAATATTTACTTCTGTGGATTTTGATTGGGAGAAAATCGAGTCAGGAGAAAGGCGGTGATGAACAATACTTGTTGCTTTTATTTGTATGCACAGTAAACAAACGACAGTCAAGGCAGGTTTGGCTGGATTTACACTTCCAAATCTGATGTTCTGATCATGTGTGGAGGCTTTCCACACGTCTCTCAAATGACACAAATCTGCAGCTGCCTCTTTTTTTTAATGCTTCTCCCCTGGCAACATAAATTTTAATTGCCTGCAGTTTCCACTCATCACAGGTTGCAGGTAATTTCATGTTTGGGCTGGCAGTGTTTTGCATTGAAAGCACGCAGAATAGCAGCCAGACTCGTATCTATCGCTACAGAAGCTGTGTTTTGATCCCAGATTCAGTTGCTTTTTTTTTTTTGCTTTTTTTTTTCTGGAGTCAGCTTGGCTCCTGTGTTAAAGTACTTATTTTTTGCATCAACAAACTAAAGGCTGGGTAAAAACATTTAATGTCCCCCAAATGCAACTGGATTAATAAAACAATTACTTAAAAACGCAACTAGCAAACCATCAGTTGAGCAAAAGGTGTCAAATACGGACTCATCCCTGCTTCCCAAGTGTGACTGTGTGCAGTTAATCAGATGCCGTGTGACTGCAAACAAAGTTAAGAGAAAGGTACACCTAGTGAGCAGAGTGCTGTGTGCATCGGCTTTATTAACGTAGAGAGAAAGAGAGGAAGGAAGGAAGCAGGCAGAGCCGGGGCCTTATACGCTGAAACAGCCAATGATAGTGCAAACAAGAAGTCACCAAAACCTAATTTGAAAAATCTTATCTCATTGTGTTTAAAAAAAAAATGTGTTGACCTGAGTTCCAGGGCATCCAAGACATTTTTACACTAATCTACAGTGTACTGTATTATATATATTTTGCTTCCAAGGAGCCAAACTTCCTTGTAATTTCAGTTTTCTGACCTTTCTGAAGGTCTTTCGGTTTTTCTTTGGACATTGGTTCTTTCACACCATATTTTTTTCTTTAACACTAACCTATAAATCAATTAAGCATAAAAAAGGCACCTAACTCAAGGGATGGACCAGTGTTGTGTATAAACAGTACAGACAATTTAGCAAAGCAGCACTTTTAAACTCCCCTGACCTTTGTTGCTAGCATCCTGTTGCAAAAATGTAATCATCATTTGTTCCCATTTCTTTTGCCAAATATATCAAAAATACCAAGAATACCACAGTTTGACAGGCACACAATAGTATTTTGGCACCAACAAGGTGATTCCGAAAGAGCTATTTCCCAAAAACGTATCCCAGCGTATCCCAACAGGGTTTGCAAAATAGCGGAAACTTAAAAACTGGAGGACAAAAGAAGAAGTAATAGTTCTGATTAGCAGATGAACAGTAAGGGAAAGTGAAATCCTTCTGATAAAAGAGCTGATAAACCCAAACTTTCAACTTTTGGTTCAATTCATTTTAAATATGTGCAGAGAAGGTCAGGAGAGAGGAACAACAGAGAGTGTGAGTGGACGTTCTGTCAGGGTTTTGGGGCTGCATTTCAGTGAGGTCGGAGATCTTCTCAAAATTGAAGGAATTGTGAATGCACAAAAGTAGCATAAGGGATTGATACTATCTGGAAAGCATCTCTCCCTGAGCCCGGACCTTAATTATCAAAGCAGTGTGGGGTCGTCTTCATAGACAAGAGAACAAAAAGCAGCCAACATCCAAAGAAGAGCTTTGAATGTCCTTCAATGAGCCTAGAGAACTATTCCTGAAGACTACTTAAAGAAATCACAAGAAAGTTTGCCTAAGCCAGTTAAGGCTGCTTTAAAAAATAAATGTGGTTAGACCAAATTTTGACTTTCAAGGTCATTACATCTGTACAAACTGTTTTTACCTTATATACTGTATTTTTATGCATGTTTTCACAGGTTTCAACAAATCCCTGCATCTATTTCTCATTTTCCTAGCAAAATAAAAACAAACTTTTGCACAGTGCAACCAATATATAACGTATATTGGTATATTCTATGCAGTCCAAAATGTGCATTTAATCTGATGCAAAATTTTAAGCCTAAAACGTTGAGTGACATGTTGTAGCAAATTATTCAGAGGCTAAACAACCCCCAGGCTGACTGCACTGTTGCAGCTAATCTAAAGTTGGCAAGCTGGCTGTTAAATTTGTCCTCACTGTGCGTTGAAACCATTTCAGGCTGTTAGTCAGACCCAAAAACAGTTTGAATACGTGACCTCAGGAATTTGTAAGCCAACTAAAAGAGAAAAAAAATCTTCCTTTTAGGTGTTTTATTTCTTCAGCTGCATCCAATTCAGCCACTAACAGAAATTAGGTTGACATATATTCATTTTGGAGACTTCTTTTTTAACACCGTTATTACCTGTTTCAGCGTGTAGTCTCTCTGCTAACCACACACGTGCACAGTGAACACGGACGGCCACATAACAGAGTAAGGAAAAAGGATTTGACGTAGGTTAGCACAGAGAACAATCCTCCTGTACACAGACGTCACCCAACAAACAGCCGACTGATATTTAGGACTCGATCGCACAATTTCTGCCAACTTAAAATTCAACAGATACATCCTCTCCCACTCCTCACTTCAAAATTGCCATCACTAAAATATTTTTTCTCAGATATATCAGAGAAAAAATTGGGTGCGCTCACCCACATTACCTGATATCTATTTTTTAACGATGCCGGCATCTAAGCACATGAATTCCACGTTGATTTGAACTAGTTTCACCATCATTTCCTGTGTAATTCTTTCTCTTATTTCCTTTATATGAAAAAATAATGCCCATCAGCCTCTTAAATCACAGAGGAAGTGCACTTTGGTCGAGGCGAATGAACAGAAAGATTAGCTGCTCGTTGTTTGAAACATTAAACATCTGCTGTTTTGGAAATGATAAGCGGCACTGGAAAGCTGATTGAAAATCACAGATATCATTAAAGGCAGCGTACAAGGCTGACAGCACTGAAATTCAGACTGCTGTGCAATTCCAATGAGAAGGTTCTCACTAAACAGCTATAAAATCACCTCATTTATAAATATTCTCTCATGCAAACTTGACTATAACCACCATCTTTAATTCACCAACCCCTTTTTTAAAATTCTCGACACAAACCATCCATAAAAATGACTTTAAACCTTCATAGGATGCGGGTGCAGTCGGAATGGGACCCCCTGTACTGCAGGACACCTGGACCTGTGGGCGCTCTGCTCAGGTTCTCATGCCTCGGGCTCTCTTGACTGCCTTGAGGTCCTGAACTGGAACCGGCCGAGGAGGTGCCTTCATCATCGCCGCCACCCCCGCCGCTGCTGCTGGTGCTGCTGGTGGTGGGAGAGTCTCTGTCACCCTGGGACCAGGACTGAGATGGTTTGACTGGGCGATGGATGCGGTGAGCATCCAGCATCTCCAGCAGCAGGTCGTACAGAGGCACTTTGTTCTTACACTTCATGCTGTAGAGGTGCTCCATGCCTTTGTTGCTGCAGGGAGTGTAACCAAAGAGAGATGGTGACCTCACCTGCTTTCTAACACTGCATTCTGCAACCTAGAGTCTCTGTTAGATTTTACAATGTGTTTAAAACCTTCCTCACACTGTTACCGTCATCACATTAGGGCGACTGAAACTTGAAATTTTCTCACAGTGTTTTGAGTTCTACCTCATGTGCCTGATGTGGGAGAGCAGCAGGAGCAGCTGGGCCTGTCTTCTTGACTGCTGCTGAACCGAGCATCCCAATTGGCTGATATGAAATATGAGCGCATCGGTAATGGTGTCCAGCATGTGTTGCACTGCCGCGCTGTCGTGAAGGGGCTCCATTGTGCCAGTGCAGAAAGAAAATGCACCTAAGAGACCAAGACATCATCAGCTCACTGCCAACTTTCTGTCTAATGCTCGTTTTTTCTCTTGAACTAATCTTTTCAAACATGTTTTTCTTGCAATATTCACAAAAAACCACAGAAAAGTTTAAATAAGGATGTCACTGTAAGCTTAAATGCCCCGTTTTAGAGGTTTAGTTTTTTCTACTGTTCATTCCGTATGATGTCATCAGTGAGACAAGATATCTCTGGTCATCTCGGGCACACAGCTTTGTTTGTCTTTATCTTACAATATAAAGCACCTTAAAAGGCAACTGTTGTTGTGATTTGGCTTGATATATACAAAACTGAATTGAAAGATAATTGCTGTGTTATCACAAACAGATTGCATATCATCGCCGACTCAACCCCATTCAGTAGCAAACTGATAAGAGACTGACTGCGTGTTGTTGAGGTTTTATTGCCGTCTTAAAAGCGACACGTCAACATCTTCGAGCGGTCCAGGATCTGGACCCTAACCATTTCAAAGGCAACAAAATCATGAGATCATTGCACGCCGCCACAATAATTTTGGTTACTGTGCCGCAGTCTTCATCCGCTGTTTTCCCCAGTCTGCCTGCAGCATTAAAGGAAGGGCGCGCTAAAACAGCTCGTTTCAGATCGAGGCGTGGCTCCTCTAGTTGAGTCCGAGAAGAAAATTATGGAGCTTCCTTAACAATACTCAGCTTTCTTACAATGAAGAAACGTCTAAATTTTTATTTGAAAAAGGATCTGATCCACATGCTTAAGATGACGCACGGCAATCTCAGTAATCTAAAGTTCATCCCGCTCCAGCAGCTGAGCCAGTAGTGTCATTTCACTGGTATTTCAGACTTCTCGTACAGAATACCTCAATCTCCGGGGCAAACACAGCCCTCTGTGCCGTCTCACGTCGTCATGGGAACAGCTATTGGTTATTGACGGTACAGATCTCTCCAGAATGCTCTGTTCGCCTAATCTGTCTGCGCAGCACTAAGAGCTTTACCTCTGTGGGTGTAGTTTGACACTGTTCAATATTTACTCTCAGGAGCAGATACACAAACCTTTGGTGTGGCGCTCTTGTGAACAAAACTGAGTGGATATTAGAAAATAAATAAATAAATGAACTAGGGAGCGGATCCTTTTATTTGTGAAGTGTCCTCGATGTTTTCAGGAATCAATTTGGTCTCTCTCTCTCTCTTTGAAATGCTTTCACAAGGAGGTCACGTTAACACGGTGTCTTACCAGAGTTTAGCAAAATGATAGCTTTGAGACAGACAAACTCCTCAGGTTTGAGCTTGAGCATCCGGAAGCGGGACGCTGTGGCCAGCAGCATGTCGAAGATCTCGGCCATGCCTTCGACGCATGTGCCTTCAGTCCTGGACAGCAGAATGAATTAATGTGTCATGCAGGAAGAAAAACAATATCAAGATCACACAAGTTACCCAAAAAGTCAAATTTTAACAAAAGCAGATCACCACTTTAGTGCAGAAGGAGAAGAGCACCATCAAACTATCAAACAAGCGACCAGATAAACAACTAATGGACTGAATGGCTGCAAGGCTCCATTTGTCGACACAGTTGAAAGGTGATGGAAAGATGGATAATGTGGCTGGAGTGCAAGATAAAGTTGGATGGCACAGAGCCGAGGGAATTTGCCAACCCTGGTCCTACAGCATTTTAGTCATCAAGTCCAATTGCAGAGGACACTCATACAGGGACCAGGTTTTAGAGATAATACTCTCTAATACACTTTTGAATCAAATGGGACCATCAGGCACATCAGAGGGTAAAAGCTCTGTCTACCCGTATGTCTCCCTCATCCCTCGATCTGTCTCTGCCTCTCTCTTTTTCTCTGGGGTAGATACTGTGCTTTGGCCAGCTTGTTTACTCTTAACATGGCGGGAAATGGAGGGAACAGGCTGTGCCTGCAAAGCAGAAAACAGCCGTGTCTCCCCCGTATCTCTATTTTCTCGTCCTCTCTGTTCATCATTTAGCTCTCTCTCGCTGTCATCTCTCACTCCATCTTTCTTCATTTTCCATCATTCCTTGTATTGAGGGTTTGATTAAATCTCTTTCCTGGCTGCAAGCTCAGCACTGTAATGATGACGGGGTATTTCGGGTAGGAAAGAGGCTGCTCTCCTCTCCATGGGGAACATGTAATTAGTCTTTCACCGTGTGACAGACGTGTTGGGATGGCACAATGCCTGGCAAAGTGTGAAATGGAAAATTTACAATGCTGATGTATCACCCTTAAAATGTGTCTGAGATAGAGAAAGAAAGAGAAATAGGTTGGAATAGCAGGGACAGCGAGATGAGAAAGGATACCAAGGTGAAAATTAGGGAAGTATCCCTCCCTACCTGTCCAGGATGAGGTCCTGTGCGAAGATGAGTTTGCCGGGACAGTGGATGGACCTCCAAATGAGCCCAATCATCAGCACCTCCAGCCACGAGCTCTCCAGCAGCAGCACCTGATCGTGAAGAGACAGCTGCAGAAAACCTAGAAACACAAAATACAAAGCACGTCGTGATGAGAATTTTTGATGCCATGCAGGCAATCTCAACCACACCCAGCAGATTTAACACTTCTGAGCATTTGAAGCATCCGCCCTGAAACAAAATAAGGCCTTTAGCCAGAAGACTCACAGATAAAAGCAAAATAAAAATCTTCACTACAAATATGAGCCATTAGTAATTCAGCCATTATTCTGTAAAAAAAAAAGAAAAAAAGTAGATAAGTCTACTCAGAATATCTGTGTTTTTTAACCAGGACAAGTAATAAAATATTAATGTCCCCTGCTCGCCTTCAACCCACTCAAAAATGACTAAAACATCCACACTCTTGTTTTAAGCCAGAGAAAATCTACTTGAATGAATCATCTGCAATCTCTACTCACAAAAGAAGCCTTATCGCTGGCAATCAGCTGGGTTAAATTCATATATAATTACAGCCAATCTCCCCCATTGTGCCACCTGTACGATGTTTGGAACCTCTTGCAATTAAAGTTGGGTATCTTTGGGCTTTTAGTGACACACGAGGTTGTAATGCCTCAAAATCTGGGTTTTAAATCTCCCTGCCAGGTTTGTGTGTGTGTGAGAGCACATGTAAAAAGGGTGATGTGTCTTATACTGCATTTAGGCTCTATGGGGTGCCTGCAGATTGACCAAACAATCCTCTCAAAGGTGATGACTGTAACTACTATTTCTGTAATGGCTCTGTATTCGTGTGGGGGGCTTATGTGTACTTTTACTACAGAGGTCTCCCATCTCTTCGCTGTTTCCTAAGAAGTTAAATTGACAACAACACACACACGACTGCAACTTCCGTCACACGTTACATCTGTGCACGATTAAGGGATTTTTTCCAAGATTTTTTATTAGATGTCACGATGCTCCAAAGAAATGGCACACATAATTTGCATGTGACCTCACATTTATGCACATGTTGTAGACTGATGCGCTATAACTATTTAACAATAAACAATAGGATACTGTAGCACTTGCATGATTACTGGAAACATTTTATTAAAATAGATCCTAAAGGCATCACTTTGCCATACACATACAACTAAACCTGATCATTTTATGTGTGGTCATTTGTCATTTTGTGATGTAAGCCACAGTTTCAGGGCCTGTTAGACATCTAAATCTATAAATTATTACAGTGCTGTAATATTTTTTCTTTGTCTTACAGAGAGGATTTTTGTTGATGAACATCACCAGATCCTTGGAATATCCTAAAGAGTCAAAGAAGACTTCAGGCTAAGATGTATCTGGTAAACTAACACAGCCATTCTATGAACACCCTCTAGATACTGTCTATTGCTGCTCTTGTCTTAATTCTTAATTGTTGCTTCTTTAAATTCTTCTTTGCTATGCTTTAGATTAATTCCTACCTGGAAGCTTCTTGGCCCAGGCGATCATGTGAACCAGCTCCTTGTCGGCCATGCTGGTGAGTAGGGTCATCATGGTGACCTCCGAGTAGGGTCGGCTCATCTTCTGACGAGAGCACAGGGTTGGAGGCTCAGCACCCTGGAGCAGGAGGAGCACCTGGATGACAATAAAAATTTCCCCTTAAATCAATAAAACCTGATAGTGGACTTTTATAAAAACCTGCTGTAGATGCTCACTATTTCCTCACCTGATCAGGAGGTATGCTATTTAAAGAGGATCTTCCTCCTCCACCACTTGTGCTGCTGCTGCTCGTTGCATGCTTCCTTCCGTCATGAGGGGGCGCCTTTGTGTGTGGCAGGTCTTTGGCTGGTTTGTCTCTGTCGCAGGCCCGTCGTTTTTCACGCCGCAAAACACGTCCGCGGTCCTTACGCATACCTTGAGGACAGACCAAGGATGAAATAACATCATGATACAAAAAAAGGGACGATTAAAACAAAGATACAAACAAGAAGTCATGGGTGTGTAGATAAATCACTTCACTCTTTCCCCCACATTGTTCAAAAATAACTTCATGTTCTGCCACATGTCTTACCACAGATGCGCAGATTCTTTTGGACTACCGAGTGATTCAGGAAGTATGAAAACAAAAATGTGACTGAGCAGTTGTACTCCTTAAGAGGAAATCTCTTCAAGGTCATGTTAAAGTTAGTCTCAAGCTTATCTGGATCCAACAGCAGCCTCATGTTTGTGCCAAGTTTTTCCACAGCAAGACAATCAGTTTTTAAATTTTTAAAGAAGAGTGTAATTTTTGTTAAAAAAAAAATATTAATAGAATTTCTTTACACAATTTTACAAAAAATTTAAACGTGCAAAAGGTGGAGAATCTTTCTTCTGCTGGTGTTCACCCTCACCTCCTTTCATCATGCCCACTTCGTAGCACTTCCTAAGACGGCAAGCCTGGCAGCTCTTCCTCCGATTCTTGTCAATGGTGCACTGATTTGTCGCTGGGCACATATAGTCATTGTGACCTGAGATGAAAGAAAATCTATTACTTTCAGCTACCCACTTCAGTGTGCAGTTCAGATTTAGGTTATTTAGTAGCCAGGTACACTCTATTCCCCATTCTAAATGAATCTGAGATGGAGCAAATTAAAACGTGGCATCTTGGCTTTGTCATTGCCATGGAGACAATTGGTTTCTTCTTGAGCGCTCTTTCATTGCATGACTTTGCATCAATGCACAAACCACATCCAATCATAAACATGACGCAGACACCGAGCACACTGAGTTTTGGTTTGCACACACTGGGGCAACAGCACAAAGAGTTTGGAAAACAGTTGATGTCTCACAAATGAAAATAAATAAATGGACTGAAACCTAAATTGTGCTCCCTCTCAGTTTCACAATGTCCACTTTCTGACATGCGTCCTCCCTCCGTCTCCTCCTTTAACACAACAGTATTCAACTCCAATTAGGCTGCTTATTTTTCTGTAAACATTACAGGTCGTTCACTTCTGTAAAATGAGCCAACCACATCCAAACTTCCTGTCAGGAATGTTCTTTAGATTTCCCCATGTCTTAAATTAACCCATATTTAATTTCTTTGGCTGAAGGACGGAACACTATGTCTTTTCTGCTTGATAGCACTCAAAGTTAAGAAGCCAATTACTTTAGTGCACTGTGTTCTTTAATACTGTTATTTTCTATGACAGACACAATAAAGCCCATGATTTAGACAGTTCCCTAATTTAATCAACTGTAGTTGATCTGTAGTGTTTTACAAAATATAGCGCAATCCTTTTAGATCCACTGATAACAAACAGATAAAGCAGACAGACTACCTACCCTGGATGCTCCTCTTGAAGAAGGCCTTGCAGCCCTCACAAGACCACACCCCATAGTGGTATCCAGACGCGTAGTCACTGCACACAGCGCAGAAACGGGTCTCTTTGGTCATTTCAAACCCCCCAGCTCCAGCTCCCAACTCGCCCACGCCGTATGCCTCATCACGGGTACCACACTGGTCGTCTCTGGGGACCGGCTGATGGCTGGACCTGCAACGCGCCATGAATTTTAATTTGGTAATTTCTTTTGTTTTCATAAAGATAAAGCTCAGTCGCAGAGTTAATCAATTAATACATCTGGATATTTTTGCCAAAATATGGAACATTTTCTTTTCCCTGAAAATGTTAGGCAAGTCATTTAGTGATTAATCAAATCTCATCAGAACGACTTTAATACGACAGCAGCTGACAGCAGGAGCGGAGTTTTATTTTTCACCTGAGGCAGGAAACAACTGCGTGTGTGCTTCTGTTGTTCTTACATATTGTTCCCTTTTCAAGGTCCTTAACAAAGTCCTTAATCTCTGGAATTAGAGACCAGGACAAAGTTTGATCCTTTCCTCAGAGATAATAGATATGTTTTGTATAAAGCAAGAGAATAAAAACAATGTGGTTATATAATTGTTCTGTTATAACGGCATTTACAGGACCCAACTGAATGTCACTGCCATAATTCACTAATTACAAATTCTGAATTTAATTTTCCAGTAATATTTTGCTCTACTGTCCCCTGGTAGAACACACCAATTAAATAAATAAATGCCAGAAAACACCGGGCTTAATTCTTTTCTTTGTGGTATAGTCACCTAAAATTTATAATGAAGACATGATAGAGGCAGCTACAGCTGTCGCAATGAAGCAGGACACCTGATGAACTGGTTTTGACTGTACTTATCATGTTACGCTTGCATAATCACCAAACTTTTGCACAAACACAACTGACCAAACAATCAAAACCAAGCCCTGGATGTGCCATTGCCAGACAAATAACTTAATGTGTCATCAAGGGGTGATAATTTCATTCACTTTTTTCCTGTCACTTTTCTCCACCAGAAAAAAAAACTGCATTTCCTCACCTGTAGACGGGTGTTGAAGTGGTTTCCAGATAGTGGTGGCTGGGCGGGTGCATAAAGGGGCTCAGCCGTGGGCTGGAGGGCACAAACACAAGTGGACTGGTCGTCCCACTGCCCAGGGACTGAAGACTGCCATCGGACGGTGGTCCGTGAGCGTCCAGAGGAGCCGAGTAGCAGCCAGTGGTGGAGTGGCCGTAAAGAGGAGTCGGGGCAGGGGTGGGGGCGGCATAGTCATAAGTCCCTTCCAGGAAGTCCACGGTGGCTACCCCTCCAGACCCCCGGCTCTCTTCGGGGTACATGTCGTTGAGGGGGGCACACAGCGATGGCGAGACGCGAGTTGGAGAGTGGGGCTCCAGCTCTGAGGAGGCTGAGCTGTCCCTGGGTCTGAGTACTGGTCCGCACGGCTGTCTGCTCTGCGCTGGGCTCTGCCTGAGCAACATCACAGCACAACAGCAGTGATAAGCAACATGATTTAGACTGGCTCTCCCATTTGTTGGGAGGGGGAGTGGAAAGGAGTGTTGCTCTCCCTCTCTTTATTTTTTCCCCCTCACTTGCTCTCTGGGTCTCTTCTCTCCAACAAAGCTTGTCAGACAACTTGAAAGCTCCACTGTTATTAAGCTTTTTTGTGTCTACCTTTGGCTTCTGGTCACTAAGCTCCAAAAGAACAAAAGAAAAAGAGTTTTAGACGACTCTTCCCTTATTTTATTTTATTGTCAGCAAAGCATCTCCTTTTCTAATACATCTTCACCAAAGTGTGAGAGGGAGAAAGGCTGGTGGGACAGAGGGAGAAAAAAATAGTGATTCACAAACAACTCGTGTCTTCTCATGCGTGCCACAGTTCCCACTCGTCATTTGTGTAATATGGAAGAATTGTCACTGGTTGCACCTGTTTTGCTGAGAAAAGTTGACTGCTTATTCATTATTTGCTCAGCCGATAGCAGCACAGGACAGATGTGATGTACTGCCAGTCTATTTGCAGTGAGATTTAAAGAAATCACTGTGGACAGTTTACAACAACAACAGCAGAGGCTGAAAGAAAACCACAATCTACCATTACTACTACTATACTACTACTCACCACTTACAAACGAAGCATCCTCCTATGTGCTGTACAACGTACTGGCTCTGCTTGCCTCACAGGCATTTAGTTGAGCTCATTGGACACAATGGGAACAGTGGAAAGGTTTGAAAAAAAGGATAAACAAATTAAAGATACAGCCAAATCGATAACCATGGTGCGTTTAAGTGCCAGGTCACCATAACACAGCAAACAAAGCAGGAGGTCAAATCTCTTTCTGGCAGCCAGAAATTACACAATCAATCCCCAATGAAGAGATTGATAATCATTTTTATGCTTCACATTTATTTCTTCTCGTTAAAAATTGCAGTGAATCTGAGAGAAATTTTAAAAGATACCTTCTGAGTCACATTTCATTAAGTGAAGGTTGATATAAGTTACAGAACCACAGCACGGACCAGTTAATCATCACTTTATCTGTTCAAATAACAGGAGAAGCAGAACACTATGTGTACATAAACAAAGCCAAGGGACCGACCAACCACTGTTGATAAAAATCAAATGTAAAAAATAACTGTTTACAGATTTCGGAGTCAATGACAGAAAGACGCACAAAAATTATTTGGGCCATTTGAATTCACGTCTTCTTGCTACTCAAGTGAGACATGTTGTAATTTATGTGAGAAATGTATAAAGTCAAACATGTTCTCATGCAATAATTAATGGCTACCACCAAGTGGGGGAGAAAACTTGACACGGAGCCCTAATTTTCCTTTCTCTGTGGTACATCTTTCTTGTGTAAACAGCCCAATTTTCAGGACATGTCAGGTCAAGTGGAAAACAAGTGGCCCTGATGATTTTTTCTATTTTCCCTAGAGTAAAATGAAGACATTGTTACACCAGGGAAAAAGAAAATGAAGGGCGAGAAATGAAACAGCTAAATCACCTAAATGATTCAAGATAAGATGCTTCCTGCGGTAATAAGGCCTCATTTTCATAAGGTACCACATTCACAAAGCATCAGAGCAGCCTAAATTACGCCAGTGTTGTTACAGCTCATTCTGAATTGTAATGCACAAACTGCAGCATTTCCAGCTGTTTTGTTGGCCGTTTTTCTTGGTCCAACCCGACCTGAGTAAATGAAAGGTCATCAGGAAAACACTCTTATAAATACAGACTAAAGTCACAATCCTGGTGAACCGACTACTTTATAAGAGATTTGTGTGTTTACAAAAGCATTTGTTCATTGTTTTAACATTAAGGTTAACTGGTGGTTTATATTTTGATGTGTATACATGTAAATGAAACTTTCCTGTTACACGGTTACATGCAAGACCAAAAATACAGGTCAAATTTAAGATCAAATCACAACAGCAGTCACCTCAAGGTGCTTCACACTGTAAGGTAAAGGACCCTATAATAATGGTAAAGTCCTTACAATAATGTAGAGTTTAGGCAGCTACTCTGCACTGTGTTGGCACGTGGTATTCAAGAAGGTTACAGTAGAGGAATTATATCCTTAAATTTAGTTATAGCACTTTCAGAAATGCATTCATTTCAATATGGACAAATTTACAAAATAGCTATTAGTATACAAAAAAACAAAACAAAACATTTTTCTTGCTTGTGAAGTACGACAAAAGGAAAAAGAGCAGAGTCACAGTAGTGATTTATTAAATCGAAACAAATTATCAAAATAACATTTTCACCCAGCAGCACTATGGGATCCAGTTAACATCACCTGTTGATTACTAAAAGTGACAAACGACATGACAATGTGCAAAGAGACATCCACTTTTATCTATGGAGATAGAGGTCCAGGTTCCCATTTTAAGCAAAACAAGCACATGCCACTTATTGTTACACTGCTCCAACAACAATGTAGTTTTCAAAAAATGTTATGATCTGCTTTTGGTGAACTTAACTCGCTGTAATCACACGGAGTAAAACAACTTGAGCTGAATAAAAAAAAAAGACAAAAAAAGAAAGAAAAACAACAACAACAACAACAACAACAAAAAACCCCAAACAAACTATAAGTTAGATTTACATCATTCTCACAACTGCATGCAAAACTGTTTCTGCTATAGAATTTATACTCAGTTTTTTCTCAGTAATTGCTGACAGCATTACCTGTAAACAGTATGACTAAATTCATGGTTTACAACACATTTGGGATAAAAGCAAGATGTGAAATTTTGATATGAGATGGTTTTTTATGAAATTATTACTGAGTATTAATTATTGTGCGCGTTCCTGAATCAAACTTGATGAAGTGCTAGTAAACAGCATTTAACAATTCCCCTAACTTAAGTGTCTAGTGTGGTTTAAAGGTATCGCCTGCTTATGAAGCTTCTTTTTAAACCCATGTCATCAAAGTGAGTTCCTGATTTGAACCTTACTATTCTGACTTTGGATTGTGGAACTGAATTACAGCGTACTTGCCGCTAGTCATCCAGCTTGGATCTTGGGAGGTAAGCTTCTCCCCTTGTCCCGGTTGCAGACCAACCTGAATGTTGGCCTTGAGAGTCCTCAGGCTGCACAGCGGTGCAGGCCCAAAGCCTCGCAGTGCAGTTTCAAAGCTTACTGTGTGCTCCCAGTCCCTGTCTCCAGTCAGCTTCCTGTAGTTGAGATCGCCTTTAAACAGCACCAGGTCTGCTCCCTGCAGGGTTGTATACAGGTCAGGAGCATCGGCTGCCATGTCGCAGAACTCATGTGGCTGTGTCCAGAAAGGATGATCATGATAGCACCACATTCCCTCTTTCAAGTACCTCTGCCACTGAACACCACATTTGGAAACCCACTTGTGATTGGTTGCCATGGCCTGCTGAATGGTCCACTGAAAATCTTTAGCTGTGACGTCAGAGACAAACCACGGGATGGATTTGCCATGAAAATGAATCTGACGTGCAAGGCCAGATGAAACCAGGAAGTCGGCTAAGACCAAGTCAGTGACCAACTCGAAGCCAGCATTGTCTAGCACAATGTCCACTCTGTCTGCAGTGGTTTTCCCTGACTCTCTTGGCCTCTGCGCAGAAATAAGAGCTGACCATACCCTTTTGGTGTCATCCACCAGGATGAAGGGCAGGAGGCTGTAGAGGGAATCTAGTGGACTGGTCTTCTGGGAGTTCTCTTGGCCAGCAGATATAGACAGATCACACTTGTTTCCCCACAAAGATCCCTTAAAAGAGTCACAAAATGTATTCAATAAATAGTAACTGATTACTGTAAAACATTTCTAAAATATCAAATCTCCAAGAACTAATGCACCACATTTATTGCAGTTATGAAGGTCTAATCCCACTGGTATTAGTGGGTTCATTTTAAATTAGGCTACCAATCACAACAAGGATTCACAAGAGGACCATTCATCTCAGGTGTAGCCAGAATCACTCACTTTTAAATACTAAAAAGCAAAGTTTTAAATAAATAAATAATTTAAATAAATACAAATGGAAAATTGAAAAAAGAATAGTAACTTACATACTGAGAATCTTTTAAATGTATAGCTTTAAGGTTATAAATTGAACTGACCTGCATTAGTTTGCTGAAATGCTCAAACAGCGAATTCTTAGACAGCTCGTCTATGTTGTTCTTGATGCCCTCCAAGTACGTACACAAGGACATCACAGCCTGTGAAGACTCAGTAAAGCTCTGAGTCTTTCCCTCATTAAAGACATCAAAGTCACTGATGGGAGGACTGAAATAAAAGAAGAAATAAAATCATAACAGAAATCAACAAACACAATCTAAAAAGAAATGAGAAAGGGAATTGGAGAGCATATCCTCTGCCAAAGATAGAGCTCAGATTTTCAAAGCAACTGACCTGGATTTACACAACAACTAAGTGGGTGCTTCCTTGTCTTCTATTGTACCTTTGCATAAAGTTTCATGAAATTCAGTTACGTTAATTTTTGTCTAACCTGGCTAACAAACAAAGAGATAAATACAAGCCTTGGCAGAGGAACATATTTACTGAAGGTCCACCGCTTGTGAAACTCAAGGTTGATGTTGATGGTCAAAATCATTTATCCACTAACCAATGCCACTGTGTTTTTGTTTTTTCTATGCACCACTATATCAGTCAGTACCAAGGTTTTGTCAGTAATATACTAAAAGTTATTACAAAATCCCAGGGTTTACATCTACAGTAGCTTCCATTGTGACATATAAATGCTTCTCACTTGAGCAAGAGCGCCTCGTGTATCCTACGGTACATGTAGCACTCCACATAAAGCCAGGGAGACTTGAACCAGCTGACAGGCTCCTGGTCACCTTGCAGTCTCTGCTGCCTCTCTAGGTATTGGTTCCAGGAATCTGTGTCCGGTAGGCCGTCTGTCAGTGCTAGCACTGGCTTGTCAGTTTGCAGCTCATTCCTCAGCTTAGATAGCAGAGATATAGCTTGCTTCTCTGCCTGGATACCCACCTGGTTGAAAATAAAGGGGAAGCACCGGCAAAATCCAACGCAAGTCTTAACGTGAACCTCATAACTGCCTCAATTGAATGAACGTGGTCTTACCTCTCCGTATTCCTCAAAAAACTTGTTTTTATTGCGATGAATTGTGTCAACAACTTTGGTCAGGATGGTGGGTAGTCTGTCTCTAACGGTCAAATAAGCAAATGACCTGCAGAGAAAACATATAACCAAGAATATCTCCCTTTTATACTGCAGCACTGATTTGCAAGTTAACTAGCTAATAAGCCGTCTGTAAGCTTAGCTTTTTCTTTGTGGAATACAAAAAGTATACTCCCTGGAGTAATATTACCTTCGCATGCTTATCTTTGTTTACCCATAAAATTTCTGGTTTGACCTAAACAACGTCCTGTGCTTGAATATCTACACACCATCACTGCCAACTTACAGCTAGCAGGAAGCTAATGCTATTGCTAGTCTGGACTCTACCGTCCCAACGTTACGAGACCATTTTCATAAGGAAACGTAAAATCCCCAGGTTATTAAAAATTCTGCGATAAAGTCAAGTAATCAGCTGTCAACCTACCCAACCACTCTGGCAGACAATGAAGGGGGGACGTGCATAGTTTGATCCGTCGCCATGATGTTAGCAGGGGTTCAAATTCAAACTTTATCAATAAAAGCACTGGGACAGCAATAAAGTTTCTTGAATAGCTAGGAGGTTAAAGGTGACGTCTGCTTTTCTGCAGAAGTCACGTGTTAAAATAGGTTGCCCCAGGGTTCACTTCTTATTTTTGCTAAGAATATTTTTACATTTGTAAAAAATACATTTCTTCCCGCTTGCGCTTTGTGCTTTTAGTGAGGGACACGATGCTACCATCTAACGGTTATCATGTAAACTACAGTGCTGACAACCTGTCAAACTGTTACCGAGATTGCATTTTCAAGTCGTATCAACTGTTTCAGTAATACGTATTACCTTAAATGTCAAAGGTCTCAAAGCTGGTGTTATCTCAGGTGGCTCTAAGGTTGGTACGCCTGCCTCGTTGCATCGAGCAGCTGAGGTAGCACGCTGAGCATCACTTGTTGTCCAGGGCAACAATTGTCATGGAGACATTCGTTCACCCTATTAGAAAAGGCCAAAGGGTTTTTGGCGGCAAAAGGGGAGGAGGAGTGGGCGGGGTTGGGTACTGCGGTTTCCAGTGACTTCCTGTTTCTGACCCTTGTCAAATGTGGAAAAATAACAATGCATACAAGCGTCGTTTTTTATGTGTAATATGTTTGCTTATATTAGTAAATATAGAATGTGGGCAAAAGGAGTTATGAATGGGTTATGTTATATATTAATATGTTATATATGTTGTTTCTTCTTCCTTCTTAAAATATTTACTAAATTCTACATCAATAACAACTAGCTGTGTTTTTCATTAGTTTGCCAGCCAACATGTGAAACAAAAACACGCAAGTTTAAGTCTGAACATGAAACAATTCAACCTAATATTTTTATATGAGATGGCGTAAATGTAAAAATTTATTTTTCAAGACAGATCTGGCCAAATGGCAGAGGAAATTGTACAGTTCTATGAGCATACTTTAATGACCAAAAATAACTTGATTGATTATAATGTGCACAGTAACACAGTAACAGAGAGTCGGTGTCAAATGCAGAGACTTTATTTTATCTATGTAATATCTATCTAAATCACATTCACTACGGTGTATTTACTAATGTAAATAAAGATACTAACACATGAAACACATGGAAAAATCGGAAATCACTTTTGGGCAGACAAGCATTGACCGAAAAGTTTAGAGAAAAGTTGACCTACTGACACCCTTTTTAACGACTCCTTCATGTATAGCCAAGAAGGTTACGAAAATCAACCAATCAATGATTAACGAAAATGGAAAATTTAATTGGCAAGTAACAGAAGAGCAGTCAAACTAACAGCTAAGGAATACAAAATATAATACGTTATTTTTAGCTTGTGATACACATGACTCTGGTATGCCAAAAATAACAGGGTAACATGCACTGTATATGTCGTGTTTGATCAACTCCAGGAAAAAATACAACAAAACAAACAAAACATGGCAACAGAGTAGGCCTAATGACGTAAATTCGCGGTCGGTCCGTTTTTCTTTCTTTTTTTTGGGTAGGGGGGGGGGGTCCGGGCTTCCCCTTTTATGAGAAACATGGCCAACTGACTCTGCTGTCACGATTACTGGCCTGGAGAGATGCGCATATCAATTAATTCAGGCGGTGCTTTCCCTTCTCTCAGATCATCCCCGCGGTCACTATGGGAACACTGCCGGGCGGTTGTCAGGATGTCGGGGTCCTTGGGAGTGGGAGTCCAGCTGCGTCCACCTCCGCTGTTCATCCATCGCCGGCTTCCCATCCCCCCGCCGGGCCCCAGCCTGGCCGGATCTGTTTTTCTAAACCGAGAGAGCAGTGACTCACCACTCCGGTTTCAAAACAGGCCAAGGACGGGGGCAGGGCGGCAGTTAACGTTAAAGGCCTTGTTCAGCTGGGTGTTTCAGCTCCCCACACGCAGTCACGCCATGCATTACTTAACAGCAGGATTTCGTTTGTGCGACAAGCCCCTAGAAACTGCAGGAACAGGCACAAATCTCACCATTCTCATGTTAAAAGATACGTTACTGCAGCGCAGATGAATTAACCGATAATAACGGCAAATAATAAGTTGTTCTGAGAAAATTTAAGACAGATTAAGTCCATATAAACAAACGTGGGAAGGAGTACATTTATCCTAATGACACAGAATAAAGTTTGAATGTATTGATCCTCATTGTAAACAGTAACAGTGATCCAGTGGTTTACAGTTTATCTACTACATTCAGTACATCCCTGCTGTGCATCTTTCAGTAATCAAATATGCTTTTGTTCTTGACGTCCTTGTGGTCTTAATCCATGTTTTGCTTGTTAAATATTTTGAACCATCCATAAATCTAAATTTTTATTAATCGAGTAGCTTAAGTAATGTTATGGCCAAGATTGTTTCTCCTTTTTTTGTTAACAGGACAAAGACTTAAAAGCCCTTTCGTCCCACCTAATAGCCATTTTACCCCCTCCTTTGAATAGACTCCACCCAGCATCCTGCAAAGCAAGCATTTTCAAAGAGCCACAACTTGCTTAGATTCATCCTCCCTTGCGAACCCTGTGTCCTTAAATGTAGCTCAGTAATGGCAGGCCTTGGAAAAAAATGGTGTTTACACTGGGACAACATCCAGCAACTTGCTGATGACAACATCTGATGACAAAATATTGACATGACTCCAAAGTACACTCGTGAAAATGTCCGCCTATACTTTCTGTGTCTCTGGTTTTGGTTAAAATTCAACTGAAACTACTTCCCCTTCACAAAACTTTTCAGAATAAGACTTCCAACATTTTGAGTTTCCCAATGCATTTGTTTTTTTGTTTTTGTTTTTTTGAACTCACAAAGTAACAGCTGTAACTTAAAGCCCCATCCTGAACTCTATACAAATTGATGCATTTGCAGAGTTTTCACATCACATAGTTGTAGGTGGAAAGTGTGTCGCCTATAACACGAGTTTAAGGTGCGTACCAGTGAGCATGTCTGGTGACATCACAACCAAACCTGTTCCAAGAATTAACTCTGCAACATATTTTTTAGCTTGCTTTGCTGGGCAACTTTCACTGATGTAGGGGACATCTTTTTATTGAGGGATTAAACTTT